CACTTGGTGTTTGGATGAAATTACAAGATTGTTCAATGTATTGATTCGTTGGGGAATATGGTGATTCCAATTTTCTATGAGTGGATCCATCAGTAGTAAGAAAAAGCGAACGAACTTAATGAAGCTTTGCCAGACATGAAGAATTACTTTCAAGGAGAATGTGGGAAAGGTCCACAACATGAGGAGAGCCTTAACAAAGGTGGCAATTTGTGGATGGGATGCAAGAAATAGGTTATAATTATTTTCTTTCATATTAGATATTTATTACATGAATCGCGTGGGATTGATTAAAAAATTCCCCATATTATGGTTCATAGTTTTATTAATTAAAATTGTTTGATTGCATATATAATTATAGTTTTATTAATATATATAATTCTCTAGTCAGATATCTCAATCATATTATTGGAGTAACCGTTTTAAGTACCTTAGATCAACCACTGTAGGAAGATATAGAAATAGGAGATAAACAAAATGGAAAAAATTCTAGATCAATGTATACTTCCAGTTTGAATACTAGGAGATGAACAAATTGTTCATCAAGAAAGATTGTATAAATCAAAATGACAACATAAGTTGAAACAAGTCAAGCTTGTAACAAAAAGATACACAGGTCATAAGACCTTAAAAATTTAGAAAAACATTTTGATAAATGGAAAATTCCCGAAAATTTCGTAACAGAGTTTACAAAAAAGAAAAATATCAAGTCTCATAGAATAAACCCTAAAACAAATCACAATACATATTATAAACAAAAGAAAGACTCTTAAGGTAAACAATTCAACTCAAATAAACTAGGTTAATATCTAATGAAATGGTTGAAAAATACAAAAGAATTATAATTATTTCATAAGGATTAGACCAAATAAGAATCAAACTTTTAGCATTAAAGGCATGGACACTGTATGCTTTTCTTGTTTAAGAGATTAAAGAGGGTAAGATTAGAGATTCTGCTAGGAAAACAAAAAATCCGTCGTCTAATGGACCATGTTATTTCAATTGTTATCTGATTCACAGTCTGTTTAGATGACCAAATATACTAGATATTTTAACTTGCAATATTAAAATGTTTGGACTAATGAGTTAAAAACCCGAACCACTTCTTAGCAGTCCGTTTACAGGAATCACAATCAAAGTAAGGCAATCTTGCTTTTGAAACTAGGGTCATTAATCATGACCAAAAAGGCCCACACAATATTGGTTTAAATGATTGTAAAAAGATCAACATAACTAGTCTATAAAACAATTAAGTTGGATCAAATTACTTACAGAAGTGAGGATTAGACAAATGCGTCATTATTTAAAACATGAGTTCCAACACACTTTTAACCCAACTAATCCAACATACAGAGATTGATTACATAAATGAAAATCTCGGAAGGTGGTCGGATTAGGTTTAATGGGTTCCACAGTATAAGTTTTGATGACTCACACTTGCCATCATCCAGATAAATCCCAAAGAAGATTTTCTGTTGTGCAGTAAGAGATCCCCTATGGCCTACCAAGTTAAAAACAAATCTTCAGGGAAAGTATACCTTCTCAACAAACACCAACCTTATGTTAGTCAATTCAAAAACACCTTCCCAACAAGATAGGGAAAGAGACATCACAACGACGTCTCTGACTTATCCCAAACTAATAGATTTGTCATAATTAGACATCGATTGAAAGATTTGAAGAATAGTAAAATCTTCGTAACGAAAGAATTTTTATTCGAAAGAAAATCAAGAAATTAAGGGAAAAAGTCTTTAAAACCTTTAATAAAAAAGATAAGGGATATATTCAACCAAAAATTTGAACTTTATGAAAACACCCAAGTTCTTACTACCTTTCTTCAATGGTTTGACAGTGAAAAAACAATCAAAGTCCAAACCAAAAGCAAAACAAGGAAAATGCACAGAGGGAAAGGAATTGAAGAAATAGAATCATGTTCCACGCAATACAGTCAGAAGTAACGATACCCCTATAAAGGAGTGGAAATTAAGGCTTCACCTTTAAAGTTAAAGAAAATTAAGTGAAATGTCAGGACATGATATTCAAATAATATTTACCAACAAAATACTGATTGCAAACCAATGCTTGAATACTGTTGGCGAACAATTAAGTAGAATTGAAGATATTGTAGGAAAACCAATCCTAGGACCTATTGGCATAAAGTCAAAACCATTAAAAATTGTAGATAATAAACCTTTATTTTTTCCACACGAGATCCCTCCAAAACACACTAAAACTTTAACGAACAAAGAAGAATTTATGCTAGAAATTAATAAAAAACTCAACCAAATAAAAGAAGAATTCTCTAGCATTGTCGCACCAGAAACTCCACAAACTTCTAGATATATAAATTTTATTGGCTAAACTGATTCATTATAATCAACGGAAACTGATGATCAAAATACATCCTTGAGTGACAATTTTATTCAAATCAACAACATGAATTGGAAAAAAAAAACCCCCAAAAATGTATTATCCAAGAGCTTCAGCCCTAGATTTAGTTTTGGAAGAATCCTCTCAAATACAACAAAGAAAATACAATGCCAATTCAACAAAAAAAAATTTATGAGTTTATTCTTGTTGATTCGGACTCTTGCAAGTTTAAACACTACGAAGATAAAAACGAACCAGGATTTATCACTCATTCAACCCTTCATATCATAAAGATTCTTAGTCCTTCTTATTGGGGATACAATCCAAACCAATTCAAAAAAATTTCCTAAAATTTTGATCCACATGGATATAATTACTGGGACTAATAAGGCTTGGAATAGATTACTCTTTCTCCAAAATAGTCATCACAGGTACTCCTTGATGATTTATTTCAAAAGAAACACTTTATTCAAATTTCCCAATTGGTTTGCCCAATGGTGGGATCATTTTGGATTAATTTCTAAAATCCTACCCCAAACTGCCCAAGAAGGATTCAATGAGTTCTAACTAAAATTTGAAGTTTCTGAGCAGATTCAAATTTCCCTCCATCTCAGCAAAGTTTCACCTCTCGTGGATTTGGCAATGGGAATATGAAACTGTCCAAAATATTAGCAATCTCCCTAATTTGATCCGGAAATTTAAAGTCAAGTGGTGGGATACATATGATGCATCCCATGTGTCCAAAGAAAAAATCCAACTTTGTCTCTCAAATGTGCCTCATCCAACTTAGGCAATTAGCCCCGAAATTGCCTTTTTTTTATAGAACATGACTGTGGCATCAGTATCCCTAGTAAGAGCCAAAACAAAACAAGAACTTAAAGACTACCTCAAGACTATTCTTTCTCAACTCCAAAAATCTAACCAAAGCTCTAGTGCCTCGGTCAATTTTGCCCAGAGCAATGATGATGACTATTATGGAATAATCTAATTTACTCCAAAAGAAGAATGGCCAAAGAACTTCTCAATTGACATCCAAATCAGAGAATATCTAGCATAAAAAAGAAGCGTTAGAGATTCCCAGCCAAAAGAGACATTTGATGCTCTAATAATAATTAAATAAATAAATAAATAAATAAATAAATCAAAGATTCCCTCAATATATAGTATTTTATGTGATGTTACAGTATAATAAAACTTTTATAAATTTGCGTATTCTCAATCGTTGTAAACCAAGCTTTTTGTAAGCCAATTCTCTAAGTTTTTCTTTCCACATTCTTTTCAATATATGTAAACACTCAAAAGCTCTTTAAAAANTGATTTAATAACACTTTCTCACCCACAAACTTTTAAAATACTATTTTACTATCTAAATTTATATTTTGTTTCCAATTCAGACATCGTTGTGAACCAACGTCATTACCATTCTCTTCCTCGATCATCACTCACTAAAACCCCTTAAGTCTTACTCCTGCCAAACCCTACCAATCACGGACAATCAGGCGATTGGGGTTTGTGTAGCGGCCCCTCTCAAGTCAAATTCTGATCAATCTCAATCACCAAAATCCAACCTTCCACCATCAAAAGACTTATCGACCTCCCCTCTTCAAAAGCTCCAACAGCATGAACCAAGTTTGCTCTCTGTTCACCGTCGAAATATAAATTTAGATTGTAAAATAGTATTTTAAGAGTTTGTGAATGGTAAAGTGTCATTAAGCCATTATTTGGATGGGAAAAAATCGTTAACTCTTTTAAAATAAATGGTAGGAGAAAAATTTGGTAATATTTACAAACTTATAACCGTATAAATTTTAACAACTTACTAACTGAAGAATTTTTATTATTTTAGAAATCTTAGGAAAAATTGTATTGGTATATCATATCTCATGGGAATTAATGTTATTAACTCTTCATAAAACGATAATTTAAGCTTTTTGCTTTCTTCGGTATGTTTAATTAAAATCTTGCGACGAAGCGGAAACGTGAAAAGAGATCAAAGAAAAGCTATCGCTTAGCTTTCTTGAAAAAAATGACTCTTAAGCTCTTACTTGTGGAGCGGGTTTCTAAAATAAAATGCTCACCCAATGTATTTGGTGTTTTTCAGTGAACACCCACTGGTTTTAGAAATGCAACTGTAATCCCCATTTTTTTACAGACCATTAAGTCATTCTGTTTAAGTTTGACGCAAATAACATCTTACTATTCATCCAAATTCAATCAATCTAACATATAAAATCCGTCAGCAATGTTAAGATCTTGTATTAAATGAATTTCTTTCTGAAAAAACAAAAGATTCTTTGGAACGATCATTAATAAAATTATAATAAACATATACTTATTTTCATCACCACAGTACTGAGATCAATATTATTCTGATCATTAATAAAATTATAATAAACATATACTTATTCTCATCATCACAGTACTGAGATCAATATTATTCTCCTCATCGACCCTTGAACCATGATCCAAAGATTGATCGAACCATACTCCAACCTCAAATCATGATTCAAAGGTTGACCGAACCATGATCCAAGGATTTGAAGAAAAGAGTTTAACACTGTTCACTACCCTCAGTATTGTGACAATCTCTCTACCAACGATGCAAATAAAGCAAGGAAATCTACAGCTTCAAGAGATACAACTTCATTCTTATCAAAATTAATATGTAAATCTCTATACAGACATCTATTCTACAATTGCTGCTATTTCTAACATATACAGACCTATTTACATTGACATTTATGATCTATATCATCTATGCTTCAGACTTCTTGCAGTGAACGATGATTCAACGATGCAGAGCTGTTCTTTGGAACTTATCATGCTGTCTAGACTAACACTTAGACCAAAGGACAGAGATGCTCCATTTCATGAGAGTACTGCAAAAACTAGGAAGGAAGGTGTAAGTTTACAACTTTTTGGGAAGAACATCACCTCGTATGGAAGCTGGGGAAAAAGATCGGCATGGTGTTGGGCTTAGACTATGAACCGCCTACCAAAAAGCAATTGCTACTGCCAGAGCTGCCAACAGCACTAGAAAGATCACGAACAAGGAACTTCACACTTCGTGTGCCGATGGATTCCATTATTTCAAGACACTCCTGCAAATCCAAGTCACTGACCAACATCACCCATTCCTCTTCATCATCTAGATACTTGAGCTGGAAGGTACCATTTTGCAGTTTGAGTCTGCTTGCCACTTCTTCGTACAGTTGTAAACACCCTGCAGTAGGCTCAAACTTGAATCGGATGATATCTTCTTTGTAAGTAGCTTTCACGGTAATTTTTGTGCCACTGTCACCACAACTTGGTTGAACTTTCGATTGCTTCCCCTCTTCAAAGCTTGGGGAGCTTGATGAACTACCATGCACCAATGAACCGTTTGATGAGTCTGTCATGCCTGAAGAAGTAGGTTGGTTATGTTCCATCATTCCATCATAACCCTCCATTTTAGTATCCATCTCCTCTGCAACAGCCAAGGAGCTGAAGCATTGAGACACATATTGGCAGTCGGAATTCTCTAATTTCAACCCTTCCTTGTTCAAAGCCCATTTTTCTCCTTTTGCAAAACAAGAACCCATGGACCCATTTTCAGGAGTAACCCAAGCTGCAGCACCAAGCTTAGCTGGCTGAAATTGTCCGGCATCTATTCCGCCCAACATGGAGTCTTCAGTACAATCAATCAGGAAAACGTTTGATCTATGTACATCTCCCTCGGAGCTATTTGGAATGATCATGCTCTTGCCAGGGCCTACTTGATTTTTGTCCGAACTGCATTCATCTTCCTCCTGTTTAACAGCAGACTTTTCCTCATCCATACAAAGGGCTGGAGGTATTGATGCTGCATCTTGGATTATTGGCTCAGGGTTCTTGACAGGCAGGTTTGTGTCAGCGAAGAGAATTTTTTTCGGAGCATCAAATTCTTGAATGATCGAGCCTGCTGCCACAAACCCACCTGTGGTTGGGTCGAACTTTAATCCACCTTCCACTCCCTGAACAGAGTCAAGCACAGTTTGTATTTTCTTTAATGAACGGTTCACTTTGTTTATCTTGCGGGATGGCCATCTAGAGATCCCATGTTGTCTGCATATCCTTTTCAGTGTGGTCGGGCAGACTGCAAGATTAAAAAGAAATTTAAAATGTAAAGAATACCAACCCTTAATTCTCTTCCATATTTCAAAGACTTCAATGTGATCTATCTACACAATTGCAAACTGGTTCAACCTTTCAATATTTTTCAAAGATTTGGTATAATATCCCTCAATACAAATACATTCCAAAGAAATATATGAATTTAATCCTATTTCAGTTTAAGTCCAAGCAAAGGCTTTTTAATGGCTCTCCGAAAAAACCAGACATATGCACTTTAATGTGGTGGTCAAGATCAAAGATGGAATGACAATTTAAAAACCAATAACATTAATGATACGCAAGACCATGCAACATGAAGTCTCACCGCCAATGCTTTTTGCAGCATCCTTAAGACTCCCAGAAAAGTATTGCTGAAGAACACTCAAGCTCACATTTTTCTCCGCCGTACTTCTCTTCTTCTCTGAATGTCTTCGTGGTCCACTCATCACCTAGAAGAAATGTAAAACATAAGTTCAATCCTAAAATTTCATTTAAATAATGCACCAAAAAGTCACTTCTTACATTTTGATATTTTCTATTATATGGTTTTTGGCAGATGTCTCTTTAGACACACAGATTCTCATATTCAATATAAATGCAAAGGAGACAGCCATTATTGCCCAGATACAACCCCGGAACATAGGTTTCATCTCCTGGATATTTTTAAGACTCAAATGATTACTTAACATCACACAATTTCCCTTCATTAATTGCTTACAGATCCAAGGCATTTTCTAAAGGCTTCTTCTGCTACAAAATCATGGAAAATTAAAACAAATTTGGACCTGCCTTATGCACTATCAATTGAACCTTCCACATAACACAGAACAGACAACATAAAACAGACCAATGCTGGCCCCTGTTCAATTTCAAGAGATTCCTACGAACATATCAAAATCAACAATGTCACAAACTGTTCAACAACAATAACTGTTCACGAGGACCATCTGATTCTGTTCCATCACTTTTAGAATTAGATACATTCGAGGGCATCAGGTCAATTGAGTTAAACTCACTCTCTGATAATGCAGTCTGAGAACTCCTCGACATTGACAATGGTGAAAAACTTGGAACTGTTCCCTTCTGAAACCCGACTTTAGAGCCTTCATTCCCATCGATTTCTCCCTCTGTAACTGTTCTCAAACTCTTACAGATTCTCTGCATAGTACCTGAAAGGTTGTTCAACAAGAGTTGCTGCTCTGAACTGCCTTTCATATTGACAGGGAGGAAGAACTCAAGTATATAATCGTCATCACCAGTGTTAGAATTTGAGGTGGGCCTAACTCCTCACCCAAAAAGGCCTTGTTGAATGGGAGGATTACCCCCTCTTATAACCCAATAGGCTTGAGCGTGCCTTGTCGATGTGGGACTCCAACACTCCCCCTTACGGTCAAGCCCATATGTTGGGTCATGCCTGTTATTGGAGATAGTTGCTGGCTTTAACTCCTCACTCGCTGGTCAAACGCTCAGCTCAACTAAACCTGGGCTCTGATACCATGTTAGAATTTGAGGTGGGCCTAACTCCTCAGAATTTGAGGTGGGCCTAACTCCTCACCCAAAAGGCCTTTTGGGTGAGGAGTTAGGCCCACCTCAAATTCTAACAACCAGTGTAGGTTCTTCCAATTTCTTTTTTTTATTTTTTTCAAACGACTTTATCAGCGACTAATAAGAACTAAGATAGAACAGTTAAAAACACAATTTCTCAACTTCTAAACAGAGCCTAAATTCGAATTATCCTCCGAGAATGATCAATGAAATTTGACAAATCAAAGAAGCAAAACCAAAAACTACATACATAAGCAAACTCCTAAACAAAACAATTACATTTATTTCTTCTTAAAAATACATTTATGGATTTAAGTAATGAACCTGCTGGTGGAAATGGTGTATTGGATTCCATAGGAGGTAGAGTTGCAGAGNGTAACCGTTCTCAAACTCTTACAGATTCTCTGCATAGTACCTGAAAGGTTGTTCAACAAGAGTTGCTGCTCTGAACTCCCTTTCATATTGACAGGGAGGAAGAACTCAAGTATATAATCGTCATCACCAGTGTAGGTGCTCCTCAGCCTAATTGCAACAGCAGCATTCAGCCCAAACTTACGTGCATGATGGACAAGTGGATATTCACTTATATCATATGATTTTACATCAGGGACAAAGAAGGGGTGATTGGATTGAAGAGCCTTCCCAGCTATACCTTGTCCTTCCTCAAGGTAATGTTCAGCACACGCATGCACAAATCCTTGCATGTCTCTATCATTTACATTTACATAACAAGCTGTGCCCTCAATACATAGAACGCTTTTCCCAACTGAGCTTGTATTACCCTCTCTAACCCGTACTTTGACGATTTCATCAACAGCTTCCTCATTGTAATTACAGGGAATCCATGTTAGAGCCATTGGCAATCTATGTGCATGACATACAGCTCGTAGAACATCAGTTATCTCTGCTAAGGCAGCTCTCTGATTCCTTGAGATGCACTGGAAAATAACGGGGAATATCAGAAAAGTAGAGCTGTGCAAAACACTCACAAAATAAATCTATCCTATTCTTGTACCCAAAGAAGCACATTAAAGATACGCTTCTTCATTTTCATTTTACTCTTTATGTATTTCGTTTTTACAGCAAATGTAAATGAACCAGAAAGAAAAAATTACAGGTTCCAATAAAACCTGCGGAAGAAGACAAGGAGGAGCAGTAGTCCTTAAATTGACAGCCTGCAAAAAGAATGTCAACCAATAAGATCTCATGATAACTTCAAACACTATTTTAAAAATAGATGAAATCCATACATTAGAAGTAATTTGTAAACTACTGTGTTTGGTAGCCATGTGTCAGGGACAGCTTAAAAGCTTTGCAAAACAAGCACATAGATTCAAATGTTTACTCAAATCTTGAAGCAATAATCATTCAATAACTTCTACATTATTTTCACAATATTTGCAGAGAAGTGATACTGCAAAATAACTGCAAATATATTTTGTTCTTTCACCTAATTTTTCTAATTCAGAACAAGGGCCAACATATGCTATTAAGTGATGTGCAATTGAAACCATGTAAAAAGTGGAAGTAAATAATAACACTTCATCAAGGATTCATGTAGGAGGAAACATCATTTTGGTTAGAGTTCTCTGCAGTCTTTATTATGGCTTGTTAACCACTATATTAAAGCCACTCTTTCTACAGCAAACCATATATATTCCCATCCTATTCTTTGGACTCCATCCAATAAAATCCCGGCAAACAACCATAAATTTTTTTGGACATATAATTAATAGCAGGAAAATCAAAGAAAAAGGATCCACAGTAAAACTACAAAGAGCATAAACTAAAAGAAGAAAGTCCACAGTGAAACGTTGAAGAGCATAAACAAACCTGGAGTGCATTGCAAACATTTTCCATCTCTAAATCGAAATTGGGCTTCTCTTTTACTGTGACAAGTTCCAGCACAGCACAACAAGACATTTCAGGATATTCAAAGACTGGTAAGGCAATAGAACCACGAACAGCATGATTAACAGCATGAGTCACCCTCAAGTACTCATCCTTGTTGTAATAAACTACATTTGAAGTCCACTCAGGGACTTTAGAAATAAAAACACGACCAGGAAGCCCATGGATAGAACCAGGTTTCACTTCTGTAGAGAAGGTATATGCCCTTGACACTTCACGATACCCTGCAAGCATTTGATCAAGCAAGTATGGCTGGTCAGAAGTGCTCAAGATATACTGATCTCCATGCTTTATTGGAACCCAAACCTGAGCCAAAATGCCTACTCCAGATGACTCTTTAAAGAAAGACAATGCCCTAAGCATCTTCTCATCAAGTGATAGTGGAACTGGCCTAGAAACTGAACAATTTGAAATCTTTGAGACGTCACTTTCCCGATAACCACCATTACTTAGTTTATGAACCGAAACATCCACATCATTGGGATCCAATGAATAACAAGACGCAGTATTTGTTCGTTGAGAAACCATCTTGTTTCCACAATTGTATGAACTTCCCATAGCATTTGATGTGCCACCACCATCAGGAGCTGCAGAAGGATTCGGTCCGGTAACATTTAACGTATCAAAAGAGGGATAAGGCATAGACTGAAACGATGACAACCCATAGGATGCATACATCTGATCTGTTGCAGATGGGCTGTTGCACCAACCAGCATACGCATCAAGATTCATTAGCTCTGAAAAGTTGAATGGATCTTCAGAAACAGGACTCCTTGAAACACCATCAAATGGTCCCATATTCTCCATCTGTGTTCTTGCAGGAACCCAATAACCAGTCCCCTTTTCTTTAGGGGAAAAGGGGTTTTCCATTTTCAAGTAGTCAACAGAACACTCTCCTAACTGAAAGCAGAAAACGTTAGAGTTCTATCAAATAAATAAACACAACCCCTTTTCCCTTCATTTGTTTCCCCATTTGCTCATGAAGACACTTAAGTTTCATCATATATTCCATCAAGTTTTTGATTTTCTGCTCAAACTCAAATGATCAATCTAACCTTTATATGAAAAACTTCATTTCACAAGTAAAACTGAACTCTCCCCAGTGAAACTGCACTAACCCTGCGCTACACAGAAGGCAAAATTACAATTTAAATTTATACACAACACACACCATATAAAATAAATCAAGAACCAATCGTCAAACAGATCACACAAACAACTAATTTTCCATAAATAGCCATCGAAAGCCTCAAAAACTGACCTCAATTAAATGGATGAACCCTAAATTCACAGTATCCAAAGCTGCCGCAAAACACTGCAAGGAAATTCCATCCTTGTCAATCAACAATAGCTCACAAAACACAGCTCAGACTCATCCTCTCGCACACAAGCATACACAAAAATTTATGCATGTCTAAGCACAGGCAGACATGTGGCCACTTCAAGAAACAACCAAATAAACACTGAATGCAAAATTCAGGTGAAATGAAACAAACATAAATTAAATATATAAGACAATTCATCAGCGGACATGTGGATATGCTCAAAATTTACCAAGGAATCACTCAAATTGAAATGAAATTCAGTTGAAATGAACCAAATTTGACCTCCATGACCAAATAGCTACACTTTTCAAATCAAAACCAATAAACTTACAAACATGCAAGTGGGTATGTCAAGAAACAGCTAAAAAAAAAAAAGGCATAATTTGGTAAAATTTAAACGAAATGAACCAAAACTAACACTCAAGAGTCAAGACCAAGTTCACAAAACCCACTTGCATAAACACCTAAAAAGCTAAAATAACCAAGTGAGTATTGCCAGAAAGGGCCAAAAAGAGCAGTGATTTTCTGAAATTGAAACGAAATTCAAGACCAAATACCCCCAAATCACAAACCGAAATCCTAAAATCTTCTCACCTAAGAAAGCAAAATTCCACAACACCGACCCAATAAACAACTTCAAAACTCGTCGAAACTCAGCTAACTCTTGTGTAAGAAATTAATAGAGAGAGGAAGAGGGTTAAAACTTACTACAAAAGGAAACCCTAAAGAGAAGTTTGGTTTTTGTCTTAAGGTACAAGAGAGATCAAATGTTTTTCTTACTAAAAATCGAAAGTTTGTTCTGTTTCTTTGAAGAGAGAGAGTCCGGTTTGGTTTTTTTCCTTTTGGGTTAGATCCATGAAATAAATATAGAGAGGGAAATTTGATGATATAAGCCTGGTTGTGAAATACCAAAATCGCCCTTTATTTTGATAGATATAGACTATTGGTCTATGATATCTCACTTATTATATTTAATTAACTCACTTTGTAATTCACATAAATACTTTGTAGTTAGAGAAATTTATTTCTACTTTGAGTTTTAACTTTTCTAACGCGTCGATGGATACTAAACTGGCGCCAAATATATAATTGTCTAGATCAGTTTACGCGTACCTTGATTAATCCCTTAAAAAGAATAACGGACAACCCACCGTCACGATCTTTCACTTAAATGGCAGATACTCAAATGGGAATCAAACCTAAGACGTGCACCTATCTATATTATCTTCAATTCACCCTAATCGTCTAAGGTTTGGGCTACTCACAGATAGGTTACTGGTTAATTTTATATTGATATATAGAAAGTAATGTACTTATCTTATAATCCTATAATTAGTTTAATGTAGATCTATTTTTTTAATTAATTTTTCCAATTATTTAAGCATATAAAATGGACTCTTTAGTCTCAAGTTTTCTATTTATTTATTTTGCATTTATTAATTAAAAAGGGATTGTTAATATTATTTAAATTTGGGGAATGCCTTTGATAATTACTTGATTGGCCAACTAATGATTAATTAAATAATTTTATTAGTTATCTATTTATTTTTTATTTTTTTGGCTGTTTTCAACAAATCTGTGGTGGTTATGATTTATGAACACAAAATGTATTAGTAGGTGGACCACCCAATTTTAATTTAATTTACTAAAAGGCAATCAAATGGTTGTTACACTATGATTTAATATTATAGATTCTTTGTCAAACCCAAGAACAATTTGTATCGACATGCTAAGTTAATTATAATTAAAAATTTAATTAATTTGTTCAGGCTATATATATAATGGATAATACTTTTATTTATTTATTGTGGACCATTTTATTTATTTTGAGCTTATTTAACATGAAGAGATTCTTAAATATTTTTTATGTATATTTTTATTTTTTTGGTATAAATTGATGGCCGGTTACTTTGCTAATTTGTTCTTAAGATTAGTTGAGGTGCATGTAAGTTAAACTGGACACTTTAATTAAAAAAAAAAAAAAAACTTCTTCAATTTCCTATTAAAAAAAAAAGACGATAATAAACAAATAAATAAATAATGTGCATAATTTAGGTAATTTTGTGGGTTTTTTTTTCTGTTTTTATATATAGAGATTGACTGTTATTATTGGAAAGAAAATGATACTAAAAAAATTAGATTATTTATCCTATTATTAGGGAAAATAAATTTTTTTCTATATATATATAAATTAATTAATATTTATTTGTGAATTAAAAGTTTCATTTTTGTGTGTAATTCAAACATCAAGATGAAGGAATCCTAAATTATTAATTAAGCTCAAGAAAATTAAAGTTTAAAAGCAATTAATTTAATACTAGATTATTCTAGATCTATTAGAAGGGTTTTTTTTTTTTTCTAAAATATTTGTCAAATGTTTTATAAAAATATTCTCCCAACAAATTTGATTTATTTATTTATTTTCTTAATTATTTTCATAAGGGAAAGTTTATAAATGTTCCCAAACCAAAAGCATAAATTCTCAAAGCAAAGCAAGTAAAATTAGCATCTAATTAAATCCCTAATAAGAAAAGTTAATCAAGGGGTAAAAAGGTAAATTCACAAAGACAGAATGTCAAAACCACTTCTATTGGTGGGTAGTGGGAGGATAGTGCGGGGAAGTGATTGTGACACGTGTAGTGAGACCAAAGACTGGATCTTAGAATCTTTGGGCAATAAGAGAATTGGATTCTAAAAAGTGCTTTCCCTACTTTGGTATCACTACATATAAATAGAAAAGTGCTTTCTAAAAAGCACTTATTTTTTATTGGAGACTTTGGGGGGAGACGTGCAGTAATAGAAGATTTAATGTGATTGCTGATACGGCTGTCTGCTGAATTTAATTGAATTAAAGAAATTAAGTGTACAACATTGATTAATCAATTAATTATGTGTTGAAAAAAATCAAATTTTGGTTTAGAATATTCTGGTCAACCAACTTAAAAATCATCATTAAAATCGGGGAGAGTTTTCTAGTACTTGAAACGATAGGATCAAGACTAGAAATATTTTTGAAAAATATAAAAAATGATATATCCAACGCACAATTGATAACCTACGGGTTGGCTAAACTGTCAAGTCTGTAATTTATGCAAACTTATTTAGGAGGTGTTTGTCTAAGCTTATAAGTTGATCAAACTAGTTTATAAGCTCTAAAATTAAACTAATATGTTTGTTTATAACTTTTTTTAGCTTATAAGTTTAGTTTATAAGCTGAAAAAAAAAAATAGGGGGAGGGTACTTTTTTTTTTCTTCTTATAAGCATTCTCTACTTATAAGTTAGTTTGATCAAGTATATTACTACATTATCCTTGTTTAATTTTAAAATTTCATAATATACCCTTGTTTAATGTAGTACCCTTTTTAGTCATTTTATAATAAAATGTATTTATAAACCACATTTTACTAAACACGTCAACTACTTATCAGTCACTTATAAGTAATTTAACCAAACACGTAATTGCTTAAAATTTCAAATGTAAATTAGCTTATAAGTACTTATTGCTTACAATCTAATTTTCATAAGCTAAGACAAATACCCTCCTAGTCAAATGAGACAAATCTTGCATTCTTTGTCGTCTAAGTAGGTTACATCACTGTCGATGAGACCTTTAGCGAGGTTTTTACTCATCCAAGTTCATTTGTGACTTTATTCCTTGTATATCATATCATAAAGAGTAACATTATACTCACTAACACTTCTCACTAACCTTCTTTTACTAACGTCACATATCAGTTTATAATTCGTCAATTTACATAGGGTCCGTCTCTCTAATAATGGATCCCACCTAACAAAGCCAATCACAAACTCTCACATGCGATTAGTGAGATGGGTTAGTGAGAGGGATTAGTGAGGTTAGTATTATTGTATCATAAATATCTCATAACCCATGTTTACACGTCTATAGATCATTATTTAGTCCTTATGTAACATGGTATGATTTGGAACATCTCTACCCACAAATTTTTGCATATCAATTAACGGTCCACATTTTTTTCTTTTTTATTTATTTACCAAGATGTTTACATATGTTGTACGGATGATTCGATAGGGAGAATTGATGAGAATTGTTTAAGGTTGTCTAGTTTATTTGAGGGTTTGGGAAGTGGGGCTACTTTGGTTTGGAAGTGATATAAGTGGGGTCTTATTAAAATTTAACCACATGAATCTTTAAATTTATTTAGGTTAAGATTATGAAGTTGCATCAATATGGGTCACTCCCATGTGACATTGATTCACATTTCCAGCCTAAACTTTGGACTCTCCTTTTAATTATTATTATTATAATTTTTTTCTATTATATTCAATACTCTCACTAAATCTTTTACCTTAATTTTATATCCATAGCAAGTTGGGGGAGGTATGTTTCCAGTGGCGAATGAGTGAGTAACGCGTAAAAACCTGCCTTGGTGTAGGAAGAAAATAAAAAGATGGAGATAAAACCAAGTAGTCTAATTAAAATATGATCATTACATGGCTAGATTAATTTGTTTTCGTCTTCCTCTTCCTCTTAGTGCCTTCTATTTAATTCAGTCTGTCTCCTTTTGCTTTTGACTTGTGAAATACATTTTTGTAATGGGGACTTCGCGAGATATCACATTACCCCTTTATCTGTTTAAGCCCAAGTCATACATAACATTCTATGGTTTTAGCAACATTTCTCTGAAGATTTCGTCATAGCCTGGAGAGTTGTTGCTCCTGCATTCCTTATTCCGAAGGGCATTATCAGATAAGAGTAAATGTCTAAAGGGTGCGGAATGAGCAAATCCGTATAGGCTATCCGGGTGCATTTTGATTTGATTATACCTAAAAAATCCATCCATGAAAGACATACGCTCGTAGTCAAAAGTCTTATCTAGAATTCTTTCTACATAGCTAGAAGATCAAAACACAAATACTCTAGGGACAATCCTCGATAAAAACATTAATGGTGATTGGGTTTCTTTCTTTTTCTTTGGTCCCTCCAATTAATTAGGTTTGTACTCCTGTTACTAGTGGGTTTGGAGAAAGCACCATGGACATTGTATAGCTTTGAGTTCGAAACACTATAAGAGGGCACATATTGATATGTTGTTTTCAAACCTTTATAAGACTCACAAAGCTAATACCTAATTTACGCACTCTAGTCAAATCACATTTTTTTTAACCAAAGTGTTCAAGTCAGCTTACGTGCACAATGATTAATCTTTCAAAAAACTAGCATAACAACCCACTGTCACGAACCCCCACTTAAATCTTGGGAGTCGGAAGATTCCAACCTGAGACCGTATATCTAACTACACATCTCAACCTTCGTCCTATCACTTGAGCGAGCCAAGGGTGGTTCAATGTTCACACATATTTCTCAAAAATTAATTTATATATTATATTGACCGAGTTATGTTATGTTACCGCTGTGGTAAATTTATCAAATCCGTAAGAACAATAAGATTATTTTGACTTAATATTAATTTCATAATGTTATCAAATAGATAAAAAAAAAAAAAAAAAAAAACAGTATTATAATACTGGTTCAGTAATACTATAGATATTAAATAATATGATATTAGGTCATCATTATGATATTTTGAGTAAATGATACTGACATTATAGAATATATTTAGTAAGGAATTTTAATTAAAAAGAGATGATGTGAGGAGAAAGTGATTTAAAGAGAAGATATTATTTACTTGATTTAACAATTTAATTAGATAATTAATTAATGTTGTTCTCTAATATGCACTACAACTTCATTGGTTTCAAATTCATCCACCTCTACATCCTTACTCTTAACTATATACTTAATTAAGAATGTCACTACCTTTCTAGTGGAAATGTATTATATAAATGTATAGATGACGT